GTGTGTGTGTGTGTGTGTGTGTGCGTGTGCGTGTGCGTGTGTGTGTGTGTGTTTCTTGAAATCTTTGTGGTGAAAAATGTGTGTGCTCCTCAGGTATGGGATTACGAGTTGGAGAGAAGTGCAGAGCACTGGGCTCACACCTGCAGATGGGAACATGGACCGAGTCACATGCTGACACAAATAGGCCAAAACCTCGGAGCACACTGGGGCAGGTGCGTGCAGGGAAGTGTAGCAATTAAAATATTCTGTCCTTTCTGTGTCACATGTTTGACAGCTCTGAACTAACGCATCTTTGTCTCCAATACAGTGTATTTAAAGTTCAATGTACACTTTTAAATGCAGTTTAACAGCTAACATCTTAACCCTCCAGTGCTAAAAAGTGACATCTGTAAACAATTTCCTACTCAGTTTATTCAGTCATTTATTTTGGGTCATAATGAATAAAAATTGAAATCTGTTTGTAAACCTCTGTAAATTTTATTTAAGACAGGAGGATGTTCGTTAGCTAATGACTTGGGATTGACCAGCTTTAAGCCAATCAGGTGGTTTCAGTCAGACCCCCAATGTCAAACCAAGAAATCTTTCATCTCAAGTTCAGAACAGACTTCAGGAGTGGACGATGTGATAGTAGCTTCATCCATCTATTTTACTTTTAACACTTTTTCTATCACATCAGGGACCGGCCCCCAACCTACCATGTCCAGGCCTGGTATGATGAGGTGAGGTATTATAGCTATCCCTACGCCCAGGAGTGCAACCCACACTGCCCATTCAGGTGTTCGGGACCTGTTTGTACTCATTATACTCAGGTAATTGTCTTAGAAGTTATACAGTCACTAGTGATCATATGTTTCTTTTATTTAACAAAATCATATTTACTGGTATATAAATATCTGGGATATCAAAAGTTCTTCTATTTAATTGCAATTACAATTTGAGGAATGAGCTAAATTTAACCAAGAAAATTTGTGCAACTAGGTTCTTTATTTGCTTTAAAATGAATATTTATTGATAACTACTCACAAAAGTAAAATATGACATTATATAACTGTGAATGCGTACTACAACCCATAATTACCACTGCCTTTTCTGTTACATGATACAACTCTGTTCACATCGTCTGTTTGTGTGTGTGTGTTTTGTTTTTTGTTTAGTTGGTGTGGGCGACCAGTAATCGCATTGGCTGTGCCATCAACGTGTGTTACAACATGAATGTGTGGGGAATGATCTGGGCCAAAGCAGTCTATCTGGTCTGCAACTACTCCCCGCCGTAAGTTTTCACCCAGGACATGAACACATTAGAAAATGTTTCCATGCTGCTTCAGTGAAAGTAGAGAGGAGTCAGAGGTAAACATCATCATTTTTAATGAGTGAGGTCACAGGTTTGTCATCAGCAATCACAAAAATGATTAAGCAATAACAGAAATTTACAAAGGCCAGAAGGCATGCAGTTATTTATTTGATTTTTGTTCCTACTGCGTACATATTTTAATTTCTTTACATGGAAGAAAAGCTAAGAAATATACAACAAAAGGTTCTGCACTTCCTGGCAGGTTACAACTGTGATAAAAAAAAAAAAACAGTATTATCATTTCTTTTGTTTGTTTTCTTGTTTGTTTGTTTTTCCAGAGGCAACTGGTGGGGTCATGCTCCATACAAATATGGGACTCCCTGCTCTGCTTGTCCAGCGAGCTATGGTGGGGGATGCAGGGACAACCTCTGCTATAAACGTGGGTTATTGCCTATTTATTTTTGTACATAACTCATGTGTTATTCACATGTTTATTATTATCTTTATTGTATTTTAGTCATTTATATCACTGTGGAGGTTTCCCATGATTTTGACCATTTATACTGAGCCAATGTATGTTTGCACAGTTAAATCAAGAAGAACTAGATAGGTAGATTAGAGATTAGATAAAACGTTATTAATCCCTCGGGTGGGTTCCTCCGGGAAATTCGGTTTCCAATAGCACAGCACCGACAGAAGTTACAGAATGTGAGCAGAAATATACCATATATACACACATATATAAATATAGAGAATACAAAAGGGATTAATAGAATAAATGGGAATAAGAATACAAGGGAATTGCACATTTCAAGTATTGTGAGTCTATTGCACCGTTGGATGTGAACAAAAAGTATTGCACAGTGAAGAGGCACTACAGCTTAGTTGTTCCCCCCTCCTTTGTCCTCCTGTCTCCCCTCCCTCTCCCCTCCAGAGAGGAGTTAAACAGTCTGATGGCGTGTGGGACAAAGGAGTTTTTAAGTCTGTTGGTTCTTGTCTTGGGGAGAAGCAACCTGTCACTGAACAGACTCTTCTGGTTGTTTATGGCCGTGTGCAGAGGATGCCCAGCATTGTCCATAATGTCCAGCAGTTTCTTTAAGGTCCTTTTCTCTGCCACTGTCACCAGAGTGTCCAGCTTCATGCCGACCACAGAGCTAGCCCTCCTGATCAGTTTCTCCAGCCTGGATGAGTCCCTCTTTGCTGTGCTGCTCCCCCAGCACACCACAGCATAGAAAAGTACTCCAGCAACCACCGACTGGTAAAACATCCTCAGGAGCTTCCTGCAGATGTTAAAAGACCTCAGCCTCCTGAGGAAGTACAGTCGGCTTTGGGCTTTTTTATACAGCTGCTCTGTGTTGCATGACCAGTCCAGTTTATTGTCCACCCACAGCCCGAGGTACTTGTACTTGTTGACCACCTCCACCTCCTCCCCCTCTATCTGAACCGGCAGTGGACCTTCTCTGGACCTCCCGAAGTCCACAACCAGTTCCTTAGTCTTTGAGGTGTTGAGTTGCAGGTGGTTTGTGTGACTCCAGACTCACCAGACTTCTGTACTCCTCTTCCTGATCATCCCAGATACACCCCATGATGGCCGTGTCGTCTGCAAACTTCTGAATGTGGCATAATTCAGAGTTGTAGCAGAAGTCAGAGGTGTACAGGGTGAAGAGAAGAGGGGACAGCACAGTTCCCTGTGGTGCTCCTGTGCTGCTGACCACAGTGTCAGACGTGATGTCCTTCAGCCTGATGTACTGTGGTCTGTCGGTGAGGTAGTCGGAGATCCAAGCAACCAGGCAGGGGTCCACCTCCATCCTGTTCAGTTTTTCCTGAAGCATACAGGGCCGGATGGTATTAAAGGCACTGGAAAAGTCAAGAAACAGGATCCTGACCGTGCCTTTTCCTGTCCTGGGCATGTTGTACCTGTGGTCGGAGAAGGTTGAGGAAGAGCCGCTCTAGAGTCTTCATAAGATGTGACGTCAGTGCCACCGGTTGGAAGTCATTCAGCTCATCGGGCCAGTTCCTTTTGGGAAGATGTCTTCCATAGGGCGGGCACTCTCCCCAGTCGCAGACTGAGATTGAAGACTCATTGTAGCGGCTCCTCAAGTTCAGCAGCACACGCCTTTAGCATCCTAGGACATCCTACTACTACTGATACAATCAGAAAAGTGCACAGAAAAATTTATTCAGCTCCTAAAAATTGAATAACCGCAACGGACTGTGTTTTCAGACGGAGGTGTTGACAGGCGTCCGGCTCCTGAGATTGAGGAGACCAATTACATTGAACCCGAACCAGTAAGAGACGGAGAGCCCCGACCCAGGGCCCAGGCACCAAGCACCTCGCCCAGTGACAACCTGGAAAGAGACATGGTTGTCAGCACAGAGCAGATGTGTAAGGATGAACTCCTATTACTATAGCTCCCTGAGTAACAGATATGAATACAATATTAATACTGACGAGTTTGTGTACTTAAGGCCAACAGGTGGACTGTGAGACCAAGCTGAGGGATCAGTGCAAGGGAACAACCTGTAACAGGTAGAAGATGATGTGTATAGATGAACTTATTATCATTAACACAGATGATTAGTAGAAACAGACTTGGCTTCAGTACCACTATGAGCTTCACTTTACTGTGGTTTCTGTCCATAGATATGAGTGCCCACCCGGTTGCCTTGAAAGGCCTGGAAAAGTAGTTGGGACTGGATACTATGATATGGTAAAAACTCACAAGTAACAGCACTCGATGTATTCTTTCATTTATTATTATTTTGTATAAACCAATCTTTGCGTGATTGATCCAGCAATCCAGTGTGTGTGGAGCTGCGCTACACTTTGGTGTTATTGACAGTGATGGAGGATGGATCGATGTGACCAGACTGGGCAGAAAACAACATTTCACCAAGTCATACAAGAATGGTATTCAATCCATTGGGTATGACTCGGCCTCTGTATTTATGTCTATTTATTAAGCTTCATACTTTGGCTGTTTAATTGTGATGGATGGCTATAAGACATCAGGCTTACTGCCATTTTTGTCAACTTTACAGGAAAAACAGAAGTGCAAATTCTTTTAAAGTTGAGTCTGTGCCTGGTAAGAAGTTCATTTCTCATAGCCACAGAAATACTGTAGCATATTTGTTTTGCTGTGCTTCATCAGCTGTTTTTTTCCCCCAGTCAAGGCAGTAAGATGTGATACCACTGTGGCGCTTTTCTGTCCTTTCAAGAAACCTGTACGACACTGTCCCAGGTAACGTGTGTTGATTACAGCTATGACCTTTATGACCACCAAAGGTAAAAGTGGTGTCACTACTGTCACCTGTATACACACATTTTTGTGCATCTTTGAATTTCTGTCTTAACAACTGGTGCGCACTTTATCATTTATAGTTTTCTTCCTCTTTTCTTTTCAAAAACTGGTTTAAATTTGAGCTGATTAGTCAAGTTTTGTCTGGAAACAGCGGGCTCTTTGACCTTACCTTAGCTCTGGCTTTCCCCAGGTTGTATTGTCCTAGGAACTGTTTGCGTGAGAGCCAAGCACGAGTTATTGGGACAAAATACTACTCAGATGTAAGTTTTTGCATTATTGTCCTCACTTTGGGTAACAATAGTAATTTGTTACTTAACTTATAAGATAAACCAGAAGACCTCACACTCAGATATCAAATGCATTGCATCTGTAAGGCCTGAAGTTAATGCAGCCTTAATTACTGTTGCAATTCAAACCTCTGCTCAGTTTTTAACAACACAAGCAGCTGCATTTGATAATGTGAACACACAGAGTGCCACAGTATAATGCTGATAGGTTAGAGGTGCTTTTCTGCCTAACGACTCATTGTCTTGGCCCATCCAGAAGTCGAGTATCTGCAGAGCGGCCATTCATGCTGGAGTGATCAAGAACGAGTCAGGAGGTTACCTTGATGTGATGCCAGTGGACAAGAAGAGGCATTATAGCGGCAGCTATCAGAATGGCATCACCTCAGAAAGGTAACATCTCATGCAAGCGTGGAATTTTATTGTGCGTATTTGATTGGCATGTAGAGAGATGTTTTGTTTTAAAGGTCCATGCTTTTCATGTAACGTGTCCTTTTTGCTTTTCCTCTTCCAGCCTAACAAACCCCACAGGAGGAAAAGCCTTCAGAGTGTTTGCAGTCATCTGAAAACCACTCAAAAGACAAAGTACCCTCAAATCCAGCTTCATCCACTTCAAATCCAGCAAACCTACTCATTATCAATTTACAACCTATAATTATGTACATTCCTACAGTGAACACATCAGTGTTACTGATACTGTCACTAAAAGTGTAACTCAAGGCTTTGCTTCTATCTTTGGCCATGACTGAATCACTGTCCAGTAATAATGTAGCAAAGGATGTTTGGCAAATGATGTCTTCTGTCTCATATCTTTCCCTGAACATCTTGAGCTGACCATAGACATGATACCACGACAAGCTGCTTTTAGCTTTCAAAGCTGTGTTTAAAGCATCAGATTTATTACCTTTCCAGCAGCTTCATGACATTTTAAAAAGACTAAAATCAGCTGTGTTTGCTGACTAATTTAAAAAGCGCACGCATCACATCTATATAGAAAAAAGGAAGGTAAAACACTGTTTCAATCTAGTCAGTCCTAGGTGTGTCTATGGAGGAACAAATTGGCCATATTAACATAATATAAGATAATGAAGTATAAAATGACAAAAAAAACATATATATGTTATTACACATACTGTCTACAAATCTTAAATACAGAGTCCTTCAAATATGCAAAGTGGGTTCCTCATGGCATAAATGTATCAGTTTATCACAATGCTGAAGTCATATTGTCAGTTTAACATGCACAGAAAGGAATTTTAAATAATGATACAATTTTGAATTAACATCAGAGAATCGTAGAGTTTACATAAAGACACAATACTTTGAGAGTCATTCATCACTGGCACAGAAATTATTATTCGTTTCGGTTTTCTGATACGTCTGGTTGGGGTCTCCAAATATTCTGTCTGGTTATAGTGTTAATATACACACTTAACATGGATATTACATATTTTTGTATATAATGTTGTAAATAATACTGAAAACACGCTTGCTATTCTCCTCTTTTTAATGTACAATTTAACAGCCATGCAAGTCAATGCACAGTAATTGCCACAACAGCTTCTGTATGCAGAACATGCATCTGCCCCTCAAGCTTTTCTATTCGCCATAGAGTGAATATGTTGATGTGACTGTAAATATTGTATGTGTGCATGTGTAACAGATATTTTTATATTTTATTCTGCATTCCTAGCTCTTGGTTTTGTTTTTTACATTTTTATAAGTGGACCTGGCTGGCCAGGAATGCGCATGGCATAATCTTAATTCCCAAAAATTCTTAAAAAGTATTAAAAATGTACAAAAGTATATATTGTGTCATTCTCTGACTTTATTAGAGACTTTTGTGCTTAAAAAACATTCAGCTTGAATGACTCAGCAACCTTGTAGTGTGTAAATCCTGCTAACCCCAAGTTAAATCTGCTCCTGGGTTTACATTGTATTACATTACACATGTTTTCAGTTCTTGCGCACATATGGTTGTGAACATGTGGCTGAGTGGCCACATTATTTTAATATCAGTCCCTTCAGCTTCCAGATAGCCTGAGGAATGCAGGCATTAACATTTCAACATCATCTCAAATTCAGCTGCTGAGAAAACTTGAGAGAAGTTTCTTTCTCGCAAATTGTGGGTGTTTCCGGGTACTGAAGGGAACACGGAGGAAGAGAAAAGTGCCTGTTTCAGTTCCAGCCAGTAGATCTTATCCACCAGTTGGCTTATGCGTGTTTTAAACATAAGAAAAGCACTTACTGAAATACAGAATTAACAACAACCTGTCAATCTGACAGGTTTTGGTGAAAGAGGGTGTGTGCAAAAGAGAATAAACACATAAAATATTATTTTTGTTAATACTTTAAATTGTTTTGTGTTTTTTTTTTTTGTTAATTTTGGATTCATTTGAAGAATGAAAAGAGAAATCAAAAATATCCCATTTCCAAATGCCACAGAGGAAGTCTGGCATTTAGCTCGTGTTAAAGGTTTTATCTTTCGCTCGCGGTTCTTTATCACTTCTGGTTTTTAGAGTGTTTGATCTCAGCTCTGTGATGTCAATGTACTCAGGCCCCCTCGCTGTGCTAGCAGCCACATGCACAAAGACCAACTTTGTGTTTTGTTGATCTCGATCGGTTCACTTCCCAGAGTGCATTTCCGCTCCTTCCTCTGGACTGGCGCTGGGTTTTAAGGCTCTAAAGCAACCTCTTAAAACTCCTAAAAAGCAACACACACTGCACTCATATAGACAAAGATGCACAATTATATGAGGAAAACACGCAAAACACTGCTTTACAACAAAAGTTTTAAATCATGCACACAGACTGGGTACAACAGAACTGCTGCGAGCTGCACCTAGAAGTAGACATGACCTCTTTCAGAATGTATAATTACATGAAACAGCTATGAAGCAAGATTATAACCTGCTTACTGGGTTTGGTCCAGGTATCCTGGAGAGAAAAGCCAAGCATCACAGTGCTGTTAAAATTCACAGGACTCTGTTGCAGAGGTGGCCGCTGGTGTAGGACCTCGGTGAACTGCTCGAGTCGGTTACTCAGCTTGTCAGTCAAAAACAGGCCATTCAGTCAGTCATCCACTGTGCCAGTCAAATAGATGCTTATTTGGGTCAGACAAATAGCCACCGTTTAGCCAAGCAGTCTATTAAGCAGTAGAGAGGCTTTTTAGACAGTTAACCAGACTGTCAATTAAGCAAAGGTTGGACATCTGGTTCTTTAAAGCCAAGTGCATCATATTTGAAATATTTTCGAGATTTCAGACTCCTGCATCAGTGATGTGATACCCCCACCAAAAAGGAAAGAAATTGAACAAAAAAAATTAAACCCCTCAAAAATTAAATGATGTGATTTTTTTACCTATTTGTTTTATTCAATAAATGGTTCAATAAACACTCAATTTTCCCCAAAAAAGGGTAATTTTCTGGCTATTACATCATGGTTTAGCCTTTAAAGGCCTACTATAGTGTTTAGAAATGTTTAGGGAGCATTCAGTATGAAGTGGCAAACATTTCAGCCAACTCACACACATTAACTTCACTGCATTTGTACATGTCTAACATAATATGTAGAGTACCAATATATAAAGAGGGATCATTTTGCTTTCTCAGTGTAATTAGAACCAATCGGTGTTTGAGTTACTGCCAAAAACAAACAAAAACTGTCTGACTGCTTCACTGTAAGAAGTCATCTATAGAATCTACCCAATAAATCTGAGGTAACAGTTTGCATTGACTTTTTGGGGTAGATTTAGTTCAATATATTGTGTATAAAATAACTTCAATAAAAAGCTATGAAATACTTATTTACATTGGGTAAAATTTACCCCATATTTATGCATACATTCAACAGCTACTTACTCATTGAAATTAGGTAAAATTATCTCTTGTTTGCTAGTTGGTAATACCTGATAATTAGTAATAAAATTTAATTATTACCAGTTGATAAACATTACCTATTCATATAAGGTAAAATGTACCTCCCCAAAAAAGATATTCAAATGGTTCCTCATCTCAAAATACAGAATAAAGTGCAACACAACAGCTAATGCAGACAACACTTTCAAAGGCCACTCAGTTCATTTTAAAAGCCAAAAGCACAGAAACTCTACAAGTTGTTTCTGTGCATGTACATTATCAAACATATGGATAGATAGAACAGAACACTAACACCAACATGCAATAGTTTCTGTGCTTGCTGTCAGAAGAAAAATTACAGCTCCATCAAGCTATGTCCTCTGGGAACAAGAGGGGAAAGGTGTGTGCATTGCATAAGCTTATTTTTGAGGCCGTGGACCCTTTTCAGTAGTTTGGCCCCGTCAAGTTCCAAAAACAGTTTTTGAAAAGTGTCAGATGTGTTCTTCCGCTCCTTCGGGTATTCGAGGTTGAGGGCATATATCAGTCCCATCAGCAGTACACATGCCTTTCCTCGGCTTCCACATCCCTCCATCACTTGGTTTCCCTCAATCACAACGGACACATCTGATGGATCCTCCTCAGCCATGATGTTGTGGATCACGATCACCTTCATCATATTGTCTGTGTAATCCTCACATTCCTACGTGTTAAAAAGAAAGAAACAAAAAGCATGCACACGTTTTA